GGTGGCGAGGCCCGGTGGGGCTGCTCTGCCCTTGGCTGCTGCTCGCCCAACATTTCCCGCGGGAGCCTAGCTCAATCCTGCACCCTGGCTGCGGCCCCAGCTGCTTTGTATATCCACCGGCCCCACCATTGCTCTTCCTGGCTGCGTGACCAAGACCCCGTCAGGCTTTGTCACTGCAGTGGGGTGTAGTTGCTCCTTTAAGTGTCTTTAAGAAATTGTGACACCAGCTCTACAATTTAAAAATAAAAAGCCTGAGTGCGCTTCTTTCATTTAACTACCGGAATGCCTTTTCATTTAAATGTCAATTCAGGTGGTTGTAAGTAACTTCAGAAGGTGAGGCTTTAATTAGGGGGAAAAGCATTAACCTGAACCTCATGTCATCCTACATAATATCTGGTTTAGAATAAATGCATCTTCAAAGACAAGCTTTTCATTTTTTCCTGACAGGTTCTGTTAGAGTGGACAGGTAAACCTTTTGACAGAGGCTGGTTTTTGGTAGAGACTTTGTTTTCTGAGTAATAGAAGTTTCTAGTTTAAAACCAAGCCAAACAGAGATATTCGACGTTAACAAATTCAGCTAATGTAGAAATTAAAGCACTGAAGCTGTGAAGTCTCTGGCAGATGACTGCCAGTTCTTTGCTTTTGCACCAATAAACGTTCTCCACCATAACAAGTTTAACTCTGTGCCCTGTGTTTCTGATATCGTTTGGAATAATGCAGGGTAGCGTAAGACTTTTACATGTACGCCTCAAACTTCACCACGGTGCTCTGAGGTGGAGGGCAGGAGGTGTAACTGCTTACACTGGCCAGCAGTCCCTTGGAGCACTTCTTTTCTCTTCCCCCAGCTGCCTTCCGAGCAGACCAAGGGAGCTGGGTTTCCTTTTGGAGAACTCCTTAGCCCTTGGAGGAGCTGGTGGTGGATGGCAGGTATTTTGAGAGAGGTCAGTGTTGTAGGGAATTCCTTGCAAGACGTGGGGGTCCCTTTGGTTTGCGGCTGTGGAAGATAACAGGGTGAAACTGAACAAGGCTAAAACAGCACATTGGCTGAGGCCGCAGTGAGTTTTAGCTAAAACCTGTGAGTTTCAAGGGCAAAAAAACCTGATGCTTTGTTACGTATCTTACATTGCTTAAATTTCCTGGTTTTGCTTCATTGTGCTTTGCAAGCTGACGGAGAATACTTGTAGGTTGTCATAAAATTCGGCTTTGAATGAGTGCCATAAAGTTTGGGAAGGTAAATTTGAGAAGAAACTTCTTCTCAGTGAGGGTGACAGAGCACTGGCCCAGGCTGCCCAGAGAGGTTGTGGAGTCTCCTTCTCTGCAGACATTCAAAACCCGCCTGGACGCCTTCCTGTGTAACCTCATCTGGGTGTTCCTGCTCCGGCAGGGGGATTGGACTGGATGAGCTTTTGAGGTCCCTTCCAGTCCCTAACGGTCTGTGATTCTGTGAGTTATTGCTCTTCTGGAAGTACAGACCTTGCTCTCTACTGCTGAGCCCCTCAGAGCTCTCTTGATGCCTTTTACAAATTATCCCCAAGGAGACGTGGGGATTTACCTTCCCTTGGCATGCGTTAGCAAAGCTGTCTTTGGTTTTTCCTCAGGATTGGGAGCAGGATGGACGTTCTGCGGCCCACCCTGATAAGGATTGGGGGGCGAGTATACAGGAAGAATCTCGTCCAGGAGCAGGCCTACCAGCACGAGGAGGAGGAGGAGGATTTCTTTGCAGGTAAAGAGTGCTGCGTGCAGGGCCACCGTGGTGCTGTCGGGGCATGCTACAGGTGAAAGCATCGACACTGAGGACCTAGGGACCTCTTGGTGTTCTCTCTGATGTCTTGATCTGTCTTCCCCGGGTTTCTGAAGTGCCTTTCTTTTCGATACTGTGATTATTTGTAGATACAGTAGGAGTGGAAGCTGCTTGCTAAAGATCCTCTGTCCCTGCAATGTTTGCGCCTTAAAAAACTGGCCTCTTGCAGTGTGGCTTTTGAAAGGTGTTACCTATTTTGTGGGCACAGTTTTTCCCGTTCTGATGTACTTTACTTTCTCTTCCTGCATATGTGTCTGTTCTGACTCTGCATGAGTTGCTGTGGGCACAGAAAAGCTGAGCTGTCATCTCTCAAATGGAAAGGGTTGTGTTCTGTTTCTCCATTCCACCCTGTCTTTCAATGGATTGAACAGAGCTTTAATAAGCTGCATGCCACCCAAATTTGTCCCTCTATATGCTGGAGAGGAGACAGAAACCACGGCCTCTTTCTGGAGGTCATCTTTGATCGTGACAGGCACGGCTGAATGGCCCACAGATGAAAGATGTATGTATTCCTCCATGCTGACAGTGTGAGAATTTATCTGTTTTCCAAAACACTCTACCTGAACCCTTGGACCAAAACTGTCCTCACCTTTTACTGATATTCTTCTGTGACTTTAAATTCCTGCTCAGATCTCTGAATGGGCTGGTGGCTTCCTCCCTGCCAGGAGAAGAGACCATTCCCACTGGGTAGTTGCACAACTTCCAGCTGACAGAAAACCTGGGCTATAACTACTGCTTTCCTACGCCTCCGAGCCCGGCGGATTTAGAAGCAGTCATTATGTTTTCCGGAGCTGGTAGTAAGGTGAAATAAAAAGCAGTTAGCCACAACGGAGGGGAGTCTGTTTCTTCCTTTGTTTAACCTTGGGAGAAGAAGGCTGAGAGACTCTTGTCCTACATAAAGCACTGCCAGACATTGCAGAGGTTGTCCAAAGTCTGTCGTTTTTTTTTCTGGTAGGCCCCGGTGATTGCGCAGATGAACCCTGTGATGCTTTTGTGGTGGAAGAGACTGAGAAAGGCTTCCAGTGCAGAGTGGAAGTTCCCAGCCCGTTATACAAGTGAGCCTGTGTGTTTCTGGTTTATTTAAATTGCCGCTGACTGAGGAAGTGGTAGAGCGCAGAGTTTAGGGTTGGGTGGGTTTTTTTTGAGGTCAGGGTATGCGCCAGATCTCCGAAATGCATTCCGTTTTGTGGATGTGGATTTTAGCATTTGGGAAGGGAAAATTGGCAATGCCTTTCTAGTGCGGTTGTGCCGCGCTTGACTCCCAGCCTTCCCTGTGACAGAGACAGCAGGTGGTGCTTTCTTGCTGGCAGGAGACTTTTTGAGCATCTCTTCCCTTGAACATAAAAGTGTCGGGGGGGTGGAAGAAGGGGAGGAAGAACTGGGGTGAGCAGCCTGGCAGGGGGAGTTTGTGAAAGCTTTGAGAGATAGCACGCACCGCTGGAATTGACTGTGGACTCAAATCTGGTGTTTACTGGGAAGCCTGTAGTGTTCAAAGCTTTATCTAATTATTTTTGACAGTTTTATTGGTTGAATAGTTTTACTGAAATGTAGAGAAGGAAAGGTGGTCTGCTGTGTGTTTGGATACTGGCGAATGACTACCTTGAACAAAGCAAAAAGCCGAAAAAGTGCCCTTAGTTCTTCGTCAGTTGGAGTAATGGGAAAAAAGGGATAACTCAGCTGATGAATAAGCTGTGGCAGGATGTGCTGGGCAGAGCTGTCGTGGACCAACTGACTTGTGAGTCACAGCTCAATTTGTTCCATGGTCCTGGGCTGGTGCTGGGAGTAGCCTCTGTGCCTGGACCAGCTCCTGCACATGGAGCTGAGCGCGTGCATCCCTCTGGCTCAGAGATACTGAATCTGAGGGGACCCAGCTGCCTGAGGCATGGTTAGTCTGCTGGCTGGACACAGTGGGTGGAGGGTGGCCCAGGGACACTGTGTGAGTGACTCTTCTGCACTTTTATGCCTCCAGGTACATCATTGGGAAGAAAGGGGAAACGAAGAAGAGACTAGAAACAGAGACTCGAACTTCCATCAGCATTCCCAAGCCTGGAGTAGAAGGAGAAATTGGTGAGTTTAACATGCACAAAATGGGTGTTCTGTCATCAGCTCTTGCACAGATGTGATTTGAGTGGGGAGGGGGCATAGGAGGTGTTTTTCCCTTAATTCCTGCTTCTGACTTGGCATCGACTCACTTTATGGCCTTTGAAAAATCACTTCAGATTTCTCCTGCGTTTATTTTACCTGTCCTTATAAAGCAGTATGAGGGGGTTTTTTGGGGAAAAAGATCCCAAAACATATCTATTTTAAATGTATGAATAGTCTCACTGAAGTCGCTTCTAGGCCTTAAATGAGACTTGAGGACTTTGGGCCCGAATGTGATGGGGTGGTTTTTTGTTTGTTTGATTTGTTTTTGTTTTTAAAATTAATACCATTTCCATTAATGAGGAGCTGTAACACACATCCAGAAAAAATTGCTGCGTTGTGTGTTTGTGCATGAAATAAACTTCAGCATCTGCTTTAATGTGAGAAGTGTTCTGGTGACGTTTCTGCCTGTCTGGTGCTGTCACTTGATCCTGACAGAGCAGGCTTTCTTGTACCGTATGTTCCTTCTCATCACTTGCAGTGACTGAAAAAGAAAGGAGGCGTTGCTCATAAGGGCTGGCCCATGTGGATTTCTGCCTAAGTGGATATCCAGAGGGCCCCTTACGCATACTGTGGTGATAACAGGCACGGTGCACAGTTACCTCTGTGACAGGGCTGTGAGGAGTTAGTGACGGGGGTATCCAGCTGTTGTGCTGCACAGGAACGTGGCAGTACGTCTCAAGAAGTGGGTCTTGACTTTTTCCTGAGAACTCTGAAGGACTACTAGGAAGGTTGAGTGATGTTGAAAACATTTAATAGTAGGAAGCCAAGAAGATTTTGCTCCTTGCGGTTCTTTCCTTTCCAGCTTAAGTGTTCTCTGTTTAGTGCCTTGAAGTGCACGCATGAACAATTACAGACTATCTTGAGCTTTGTTGTGGGTTGATCCTGGCTGGATGTGCCCACAAAGCCACTCTATTACTCCCCCTCCTCAGTGGAACAGGGGAGAGAAAACGCAACAGAAGGCTCATGGATTGGGATAAAGACAGGAAGAGATCACTCACCAATTGCCATCACAGGCAAAACAGACGCAACTTAGGGAAATAAGTTTCATTTATGACCAATCAAATCAGAATAGGATCATGAGAAATAAAACCAAATCTTAAAAACAACCTTCCTCCCATCCCTCCCTTCTTCATGGACTCAATTCACTCCCGAATTCTCCACCTTCTTCCCACCAGTGGTGCAGCGGGACAGGAAACGGGGGTTGCAGTCAGTTCATTACACGTTGAATCACGTTACTCTCCCCCCTCCTCAGGGGGAGGACTCCTCACTCTCTTCCCCTCCTGTAGCCTGCTGTCTCTCCTATGGGAGACAGTCCTCCACAGACTTCTCCAACTGAGCCCTTCCCACGGGCTGCAGTTATTCATTAACTGCTCCAGCACGTGTCCCTTCCACGAGGTGCAGTCCTTCAGGCACAGACTGCTCCAGCATGGGTCCCCCACGGGGTCACAAGTCCTGCCAGCAAACATGCTCCAGTGTGGGCTCTTCTCTCCATGGGTTCACAGGTCCTGCCAGGAGCCTGCTCCAGCATGGGCTTCCCATGGGGTCACAGCCTCCTTTGGGCATCCACCTGCTGTAGTGTGGGGTCTTCCATGGGCTGCAGGTAGATATCTGCCCCACTGGTAACATCCATAGGCTGCAGGGGCACAGCCTGCCTCACCATGGTCTTCACCATGGACTGCAGAGGATTCTCTGCTCAGGCACATGGAGCACCTCCTCTCCCTCCTTCACTGACCTTGGTGTCTGTGGAGCTTTTTCTCTCACATCTTCTCACTCTCTCCACTGCTGTTTCCATCACACAGTTTGGGTTCCCCCCTTCCTTCTCAACTATGTTATCGCAGAGGTGTTACCACTGTTACTGTTTGACTCAGCCTTGGGCAGCAATGGATCCACTGGCTCTGTTGGGCAGAGCAGAAACTATTAGTAGCTTCTCACAGAAGCTACTCCTGTAGCTCTCCACCCGCTGCCACAACCTTGCCACGCCAACCCAATACAGCCTTTGATAGATTTTATTTTCTTTTTCACTTTGTCTGCCTTTATGAAAACTTGAAATGATGCTCTAGAAATCTGAAGAGCCACTGAAGTGATAGACTTAGTTATTGGTTTTTAGACACTCAAAGCTGACTTTCTTGAGAGCAGAGGGATACTTTTGATGGCATCGTCTTGTCTTTACAGAGAAAAGCACAGCTGTGTCAGGCATTTTAAGTCAAGCAGGGAGTCTGGCTAGATTTCTCTGTGTCTGGCTGGGAGTTTTAATTCCTATTGCTTCTTCAGTGAGCCTGGGGCTAACAGGAGAGAGGTGCTGTTGTGCAGGTTTTTCTAATTCCCCCCCGACGTCTCCTGGATGAAATATTCTAATGTTTCCTCCAATACTGATATTTTAAAGTGCATGGATAAGTATGTAAAATCTTGATCCATTCAATTACTCTTTCTTTTCCATGGACATGGGTGTCAGCAGTCTCACTGCAGCTTCACAGAAAGCAGGCAGATATTGCTTTGTTTCCTTGCAGTGATTACAGGGCAGCATCGCAGTGGTGTCGTCTCTGCGCGAACGCGGATCGATGTTCTCCTGGACAGCTTCCGTAAGAAGCAGCCCTTCACACACTTCCTGTCCTTCGCTCTCAACCAGCCTGCCATCCAGGAGAAGTTCCTGCAGTTCAAGGAGGAAGTGTTGGAGAAATGCTCAAAGGTAAGGAACCACATGAGAATTAAAACGGAGTGGAAGCCCTTCAACAGAGTGGCATTTCATTTCTTCAGAGAGCTTTTTGATGTTTACCTTCAAGGCCTTATTCTATTCTATTTCTTACCAATGTATTTTTAACAGGCTTTTTCGTTAGGTTGGTGGATCTGCTGTGAATTTGTTGACTGCTGTTGTGAAATCTTCTGGAATGCAGAATGGCTTGCTTAGTAAATTGTTAGTAAAATATTTTGTCCTCCTTAGACACTTTCCTAGGTGGGAGGATATCTAACATTCAGAAGAGGGTTTGGGGTCTTTTTTGGTGGTTTTTTTTATTTTTAATAGGAAAACCACTAAATAATGTAGTGGACCTTTCTACATTTCATATGATTTCTACATAACTGTGAAGCCAGGTAGGAATTCACAAGTTTGCTGCTACTTCTGTTTCACTTTTCTTTTGGTTGCTGACAGCGAAGGAAGATGGGTGTCATTACTGGAGCTGAGCGAGAAATGACTTGGTAGCACATGCCATCCTGCAAATCTAATCACTTCCCTTCTTCCCCATGAGACTTTGTGCTGACAGTCCCTCCTACTTGCCTTCAGATCTTGCCTTGAGAGCTGCAGGAAATAGTTAGGCATAGGGAAATAAGGAACAGAACGAAGTGAAAGCTGTGTATTCCCTGGTTTATTTTAGTGTGCTTCTAGTTTGACAGAAGTGGTATGTCGAAGCACAGGGCCAGGCTGAGGAGAGGGAATGGTATTATTAATTTGCCATGTCCTCTGAGTGCTGGGAGGACACCTCTAGGCAAGAGAGGAGAGTTCCTCTTTGTGGCCGCTGCAGATTAGATCACAGACACGCAGCAGGGTTTTGTGGGCTGATGTTATTACCTTCATGTCCATCACTTCTGCTTGTGCCTTTCAAAGGGGAAAATATAATCTTGCAAATAGCACAGCTGAAGAAGTTTAGTTTCCAATGTCTTTATGCTGTGTGTGTGAATTATCTGATACCTGAGTAGACAGGAGTTCTTGCTCAAGTTTTTGTAGTCAGTTGTCTCATCTGGAGTACTGTGTCCAGCTCTGGGGCCCCAAACATAAGAAGGACATATGTGTGTTGGAGCAGGTCCAGAGGGCCACGAAGGTGATCAGAGGGCAGGAGCACATCCCCTACAAGGCCAGGCTGAGAGAGTTGGGGCTGTTCAGCCTGGAGAAGAGAAGGCTCTGAGGAGACCTTATGGCAGCCTTCTAGTACCTGAAGAGGCCTGCAGAGGAGGGACTTTTTACAAGGGCAGGTGGTGATAGGATAAGGGGTAACAGTTTTAAACTGAAAGAGGGTAGATTTAGAATGGATATTAGGAAGAAGTTCTTTACTGTAAGGGTGGTAAGACACTGGAACAGCTTGCCCAGGGAAGCTGTGGATGACCCTCCCTGGAGATGTTCAAGGCCAGGTTGGACAGGGCTTTGGGCAACCTGGTCTGGTGGGAGGTGTCCCTGCCCATGGCAGGAAGGTTGGACTGGATGATCTTTAAGGTCCCTTCCAACCCAAACCATTCTGTGATTCTGTGATCTCTAAGAGCAGAACTGAGCTCGCTTTTCAGTCTTCTCTTTCCTGGCAGTTCTGATTTAAGTCCCTTTTTTTTCCACCCAGCTGCCTATTTCAGTGACATCTTAGGAGTTTTCTAGCACTCAGGTTTCCACCTCCTGCTAAATACAACTAAAATTGACCAACAGATCCAGGGATTAGCAACCAGTGCAATGCCATGAGCACCCCCTACAGCTGGGAGGATATCACTGGCTCGATCATCTATCCCCATTAACCCGGGACAGCTACCTTTATTAAAGTTTACCGCTATTAAAAGAAAGCCCTGAAAGTAGGGGGACAGAAACAGCCTGAGAAAGTGTTGGCTGGACAGAGAATGTGGGACCTTGGGCTGGTGTCAGTGGTGACTGGGCTCCCTCTGTTGTTTTCTAGTTCCAGTCCTTGTGTGGGAACACCACAGTTACAAGGAGAGAAGCAGCAGCTCTTTGTGGGACTGTTAACTTCAGCATGGGGCTCTGGTAGTGGCTGTTGTTGCTCTTAGCCCTGGACTGAGACTGCTGCTTTCAGTCTGGTGTTTCTCTTGCCCTTTACCCCCTTCTACCTGGGCTTACAGCTATTACAGTCCTTTCACTTCATCTCCCTCAACCTGTCAGTCCTTTCAGACGTGGCTGGCCCTGCTCTGCTTGAAGCCTTGGCATCCTGGACTCCATTTATCTGATCCTTTTCCCCACCTTGAGCTGTCTGACAGGTCTGTGGCTCTTTCTTGTCCCTCCCTGTGTACAGCAAACCCAGACCTGCCTGCTGCGCCAGGCAGTAACCTTGGTGTCTTGCTAGATTCTGGATTCTGGCTTCCAGGCTGCCTCGGCGTCAGGTGAATCGTTTCAGTGCCACATCTCTGTGATGTGGCCTCATTTATTCACCTGCGTGGCTAAAGCTGTCATTCATGCTGTCAACCTCTGTCTTTAATCCTGCCGCGCTCTGGCCTCACACAGGACTTCCTCTCTTCCTCGCAGAGCACCCAATTTTCCTGCTACTCTGGTTACATCTCTGCAGCCCTCCGCTGGCCCAGTCTCGACTGGTGATCTTACTTGCTCTTCAGACCTCTCCTGATCTGTGTCACGTTGTTTGTCTCTTGCTCACTCTTAAGTATCAGTCTGCATCGCTGGGCAGGCAGGGAGGTCTGCTACCCACTGAGAAACATGTTCATAGGTTTATCTTGGTGCTTTCCCCGATGTTGTCAGTCACATTCGGAAGAAGCTGCCTGAGAATATCTGCTAACCCTCACGTGCTTCTTGTCCTAGAAAACTACAGAAACTCAAGCTTGGTCAGAGGAGCACTGAGACCACTGCTGCCCAGGCTACTCATGTTCATTTTTCCTCCTCTTGCCTGACCTTCTGTCTCTCCTGCAGTTTTTGTTCTGTGTCCAGACAGCACTGAGTCCTGTGAGGCTCTGCTTCGTGGTCAGGGATCTTGCAGTGTGAATGTACACGTGGGAGCACATTTCATCCTAACACCTACTTCTGGCTTTCAGTAACCTCAGACTTGAACTGTACCCAGAACCAGCACCCAGACATGAATCCTCCTAATACCAGTAACAAAAATATCTCTGAGAAAAATATGGTACTCAGGACATAGTGTGCCTTTTGCTGCTGCTGACTTACCACGGTGCTTCTTGGAATCCCCAAAGCAGTGGCAGCTGAAGCCACCCTACAGCAGGACACATCTATGTGAGTGGAGGCAGAAGGGCTGGGGGTGTCCTTCCTGCTCTCCAGGCTGCATGGACACAAGGTGCCCTGGCCTGAAAGTTGCAGGATCGTGTTAGCACTGATCGGTGTCCTGGGCCTCTCAGGAGGGCTTGAAATTTTCCTGGTACTGCTTACATCAGCTCTAGAGTTTCCATTTTTAGTTTGAAATGTGGAAGTTGGTCAGTGGCAGGTTATCTGGGGGTTTGCATATGTATAACATAGAAATATGTGGTGCTTTATTTTTCTGCCCTTCCTTCTCCTGGGATTAGCAAAAGGGTTTCTAGATACATTGCTGCCTGTTAGTTCAAGGAGTATATTGCAGCCCCGTGTGTCTCTCAATCACTCCACCAGCCGGTAATGCCACTCTAATACCACTTTATCTCACAGCGGGGTCTGCTAGAAGGCACATCAGTAATGAGAAACAGTAATTCAAAACTGTGCCTCACAGAGCAGGAAGACCGCTTATAGATTTGTCCAAAGCAACGGGATTTCTTAGGATACTTGGAGCAATCTGAACAGGTTTCAGTGACAGAATCCATGCACTTCTCTTCCTGTTGCAGTTTGCTGGTGCGAAACATTGGAGAATTAGGTAACCTCCAGTCTTTGGATGAAACTCTGTAATAATGGTAAGGAAGGAAAGGACCAGGTGTGCATGTATGAGGATTTCTTCTGGCCATTGAGCATTTCCAAGGGACTATTTCTCTCTGAAGCAGTTACTATGACAACCATTCATTTATATTTTATAGCATAGGGTTATGTTGGTGGTGTATGCTTTCTAACTACTTTTTGTGTGTGTGGCTTTAAGACCTTCTATAAGATGAACCTTGTGTTGAAATATGGAACACTTCACACTGTCATATGGTCAGGGCTGCCAGGCAATGAAGCAAGGCCGAGGGGAGGCTCTTTTGGGGCTGAGTTAATATAAATACGGGGAGGTGGCTCACCTGAACAGGGTCATTACTGATGTGGTGCAGTGGGAGGTCCAGATGACCTTGGAAGTCTCCTTGCACAGTCAAGTAGTTGTCAGAGTGAGGAGAACTGAAACTGAGTATGCAGGTGGAACAGGGAAGAGACTTTGCAGTAATATTGCCGTGAAAAATCGCAGTTGGGTCTTTCAGAGCTGTGCAAACACAGCATTTGCAGTCTTAACAGTCTGCAGATGTAGCACGGAAAAGAAATATGATTGCTGTAATATATGGCAACCTGTAAATATCAAACATTGCTAATGAGGTATTCTATTTCGGAGTGGAAGGGACAGAAAATGGGAGGGATTTTTCAGCCCGCAGTTCTTCAGTCAGTTCTGAGGAAATGCTGTTTTTCTGGCTCGCTCCTTTGTTTGTGGATCAGGGTAGGAGAGGGCATATAGCTGGCATGTGGTGCTGCTATTAAGAAAAAAAATCATAAAGCTGTCTGCAAATATTGGAAGCCCTTAAGACAGTAGAGAGGGGACAGCCAGGGAGGAAGAGCTAAGGAGTTTGATCCTTTGCCTTGTTGTGTAGAAGGTGTGAAGTGTGTTGTGGTCTAGGATTTCCCTACCACGGAGTGTTGGATTTGGAGTAACGATGTGCTTGCACTTCGCAAAAAGAGGTGAAGACTCCAGATAAAAGCCTTTTTTTGTTCCTTCTAAAGGAAGAGAGCAAAGGTAGAAGTCTAATTAGTGTGAAGGAGGAAAAAGAATTAATTTTTAAGGCTGAGTGGAAACGAGTAGTTGGTTTTTTGACCATGGCAGG